TATTTCTCTGGATTTAAACATTCTTCGAAACATTTGGGATAATGTAAGTACACAAGTCAGCAAAATATATAACACTGTTCTAGTGGTTTTTGGATATTTTAATTTAAAAAAAAAATCTTACATATTGTGCCTTTAAGTTCCTTTTAGGCATCATTTGTTTTCTTATTATTGTGGAAATAATCAGGTATTAATAAAGTTGAATTGCATGAGAATATTTCTAATTATCTGGTAGTCAATAAAAGTTATGATTTAGGGCCGCAGCAGGTTTATTGTGGGGCCTGTGGATGTTCCTGTGGGACGCACGCCCTTCCCCCTCCTCGGGCCCCAGAGATGAGATGAGGCTCGCGCCAGGAATGCGCTGTGACGTCACGGCGCTCTGGATCTCACACTTTTGGGGGAATCATTGTGTTGGGCTTGCGTCTGCCTGTGTTAAAGTTTCCCGCAGCCGTGTAGCGTCTGTTTGACTCGCAGCGCAGGGGTAAAGCGGGTTTTCGGATGGCCAGGTTTTGACCTTCTTCTGCATGGATTGTTTGCGAAAACTTCTTAGCCGAGAGGTAAGAGCCATTGCATCTGTCCTTCCCGTTACTCCGCGGCCGATGGGTGAGTCGCTAAAACTTTTTGGTTTGCTGTGAAAATGGCTGAAAACGAACTTTTTGTTATATTTATCACTCTCTCCGTTTTATTGAATTGATATTGAGACTTTTCCTTCTGGTCGAACCATTCTTTCTGTACCGTTCTCATGCACGAGTCCCCCTTTTGTTCGGAACTGAGCTTGTCCCAACTTGAGATGTTTTGAAGGGCCAGTAATCTGAGAAGAAGACCGTTGAAATGCTCAAGAGAGACGTTCGAGTTCAGTCTGTGTAAAAGAAAATGGTCAAAACTCATGAAAATAAGTCTTTCAGGTCACATTTCACTTTGAGATCAAACGAAAAAAATGAAAAATAAACAAATGCGTTTTATATCTTCCATGAAGGCAATGAAACATATTTAAGATCATGAAGATATTAATATTTATCTAAAAGATATTACATTTTTTTTGTTGCATTGTGACATTAAACCTACCAAATTTTAATCACCTTAAAAAATCATTTAATTGTTGGAAAGTGATTTTTTTTTTTAAATGGCGTAGTATATGCCAATATATATATGGCGTTTCACTACATTTAATTCAATGCCGATGTAAATAAAAATTGTTATGAAATTAGTTCACAATGCAGAAATAAGTTTCGTTTTCTTTAAAGTATTTATATAGCTGGATTAAAGCAAACATATATTCGCGTTCCAGTCGTTTTAAATAGTTTTCAAACGTAGTCATGAACAAGAAATATGCACCTTATATGTGAAGTGGCTATTTTGTTATATTTATGGGATAATGCATTTTTTAAATAAACTGTAATCTGATGATTAGGAGTAACGTTATATCCTTCTATTTTTATAGAACATTGTTCAAGATCAAATAAAGGACAGTCAATTTTATGAAATGCCACGTGATAAAAACGATCTGTCTTCTTGAGTGACAAATAACAGGTGAAACGTAAGACCTTTAACGTGCACATGCTCTTCCTTCCTGTTCTCGTGCAGTGTGCTGTGCAAACTGGGACACGCGCTCTTGTTTCCATAGAAACGCACAGGACGCCCTGATACTGCTGTGCTGCGCGCCGCTCCGATCATTCATCAAGACTTCACAAAAACCGCAAGATGGTAAGGAGACAAGCGACAGCACGAATCAGCAAAATAAGGTGGAATTTATCATACATCGACGATTTACTCGTTTTATTCGCGCATTTAACCTGTTTAATGAACGCTCGTAGCCATGTGGACCTGTGTTGTTGCTGTTAGCTGGTAACGATTAGCTTGCAGTGGTGGAATCAATCAGGAATGTTTTTATGTGTGGCCTTTATTAATTAAATGTCACCTTGCTGGAATACATGTCTCTTTTTTGAAGAATTCACCTAGCTCTTTATTTCCCCCTGCAGCCATTTTATGACAACGTTTACTACCCGTACCCGTCAGATCCCCCGGGAACCCATTCCTCAGCA